CCAGGAACCTGGTGCCGGACGCGCTTCGTCTGGAGCTCCTGCTCACTGATTGGTCTGAGGTGTACCAGTCGGATGCAGTGGGGGACAAGTGGGCGGCATGGAGAGCAGCCTGGTCGCCTGTCCTGGACAGACACATGCCGCTGACCAAGATACGGGTCAGACATCAGCCGGCGCCGTGGCTCACTGAAAATGAGGAATTGCGTGAAATGATGAGGGAACGTGACGTGGCACGAGCTGATCGTGACGCTGATCCGTGCTCAGAGACTCGCCAGGCATATGTGGCCAAACGAAACGCGGTGAAAAGTGCACTGTGTCGGGCTAGGTCATCATTCTTTTTATCTTCGTACACTTATTCGCGTAAAACGACATGGAGGGACCTTCAGCGGTTTTTAATACGACCAAAGAGTGTTAGAGGAGGCTGTGAGCCGCCGGGGGGCACGGTGGAGTGGGCTGACCGATTAAATCGTCACTTTGCCGCGGTGGGCTCCCGCGTGTCTGCTGAACTCGTGGCCCAAAGAACGACTGCACCACCGCTGCCACCCTGTCCCTCTCGTGTGGTGAGCGGGACATTTAGGGTGCATCCAGTTACTCTGCCCGAGCTTCACTCGGCACTGCAGCGCTTGTCATCATCGAATGCGTGCGGTGAGGATGGGATCACAGTGAGCATGTTGCGACTAACCTTTCCGGTGATAGCTCCGCATTTGTTAAACGTGATAAATGCCTCAATCGTTACTGGAGAGCTCCCGAGCGAGTGGAAAGTCGCAACTGTGGTCCCAATCCACAAGGCGGGATGCACAAGTGATGTTAACAATTACAGGCCAGTGTCGATCATTTCTACTGTGGCGAAGCTCACTGAGAGAGTCGTTTGTGATCAACTATTGCATTACCTGTTGTCCCACGGTGTGCTGTGTGAGGAGCAGCACGGCTTTCGGCCGGGGAGGTCCACGGAGTCGGCGATGTTGGACGCGGTCAGCTACATCACTCGAGTCATAGACGAGGGTAAGATCGGTTGTCTGACAGCGATCGACACCTCCAAGGCTTTTGATAGCGTTCAGCATGGCCGGCTCCTGGACAAACTTGGCTGGTACGGCGTGGACACTCATTGGTTCAGTGACTGGCTCAGAGGCCGCCACCAGAGAGTACGCGGGGGATCTGCGGAGACCGCTCCAATAACGCATGGCGTGGTCCAAGGATCGATTTTGGGGCCAGTGCTGTTTTTGTTATTCACAAATGACCTGACCTCATTTTTAAGTGACACTAAGATGGTTTTATATGCTGATGACGTTCAATTCATTCACAGTGGTCACCCCAAGCATATTCATCAGTTGGAGCTTGAAATTGGACAAACGCTGAGCGACGCTCAGCGGTGGTTTACAGAAAATTCACTAAAAATTAATAAAAAAAAGACAGAGATCGTTCTATTCTCCACACGTCAAAGAAGAATAGGAAATGAGCTGAAAGTTCAATTTGGAGAAACAATGCTCCGCCCCACTTCAAACGCTAAAATTCTTGGGCTTATTTTGGATGAAAACCTCACGTTTGAAAAACATATTTCGAATATAGTAAAACGTTCTTACACTATTCTGATAGGTCTCTCCAAATTCTCCCGTCGGCTGCCACAGGAAGTCAAGAAATTGATTATTGAGGCCCTGGTGTTCCCACACATAATGTATTGCGCGACAGTGTGGGCAGCATGCAACGCTACACAGCGAAAACGCGTTCAAAAAATAATTAATCATGGTGCACGAATAGTTAAATGCTGCCGACGTCATCAGCATATCACGCCTCACCTTACTGAACTTGAGTGGCCGAGAGTAGAACAACTCATCACAGAACGTGACCTCGCCATGGTGCACCGCCTCCTCAACTCTGTCCATGCACCATCGCACTTGCGAGACCTGCTGCAGCGTCGCGATTGTGTAACCGAGAGGGAAACGCGAGGATCAATGGCGGGAATGCTGCAACTTCCGCGGGTCCGCACGGAGCTCGCCAGACGTTCTTTCGGGTTTCGGGCAGCAGCGAGCTGGAACGAGACGCCGAACGAGGTTCGCCACGCCAGCACGGTCGTAGCGTTCCGCGCGGGGATGCGGAAATGTCGAGCTGGTCTTACCCAGATAGAATAGATCTCATCCGCCGCTTATTTTAAAATACGCTTGTAGGTAACTTGGATTTTAACAGCATCTCTTAGAAAATGAGTATAAATGGCTTATTCGTAGTATTTTAGTAGGTTTTTAGATCATTAGCCTTAAGGACAGTGCATATATGGAATGACTCTTGTGCTGAAAAGCCGTGTTTTAACGGATGCCATACGAATACATGATGATGATGATGATAATGTCACTGGCAAGGGCTGTGCCATGTATATCAAGAGTGAAATCTTTCCATACTGTGCAGTGATCGATGAGATGTCTGTATGCCAAACTGAGTTTCAATGTATTAGCATTCTTATTACTTTTCCACATGGAGTCCCATTTGTTGTGTGTACTCTATATAGGTCACCGTCATACCCACTTTCCCTTTTGATGCCATTTCTTGAAGATACCCTTGATAAAGTAGTTCAACTGAAGAAGCCATGCTTTTGGGGTGGAGACTTTAATGTGAATCTATTCAAATACAATGATAATCATGATTCTAAGCAATTTTTAGATTGTATGAGCTCTCATGGCTTTTATCCTACTATCACTGTTCCTACGAGAATATCAACCACTCCACCCTTCCCAGCAACTCTCATTGATAATATTTTCACAAATGTCCTAGATGCCATCACATTTAGTGGGGCTATCTGTGCGGGGATCGCTGACCATCAAGCTGTTTGCTGCACTACCGACCTGGTCAAACAAAGCCCAACTGTCAAAGGAGCTGCATCCAGACCTAAATTTAACTATAATCGAATTGATGAACTCAAAGTAAATGTTCTCAACAGTCTGGAGGGCTTTTTGGAACTGGATGATCCAGACGACTGTGCTAGTAAGCTAATATCTGTAATACAGACCAAAGTCTCAGAACTCTCCTCAATCAAAACCTCCAGGAAAAGCATCCCCGTACAACCCTGGGTAACACCAGGGCTCCTACGCTCTATGAACACGAGGAGCGCTCTTCTGAAGGCATTTCTAAAGGATCGCTCCAATGATAAACTGAATAAGTACAAGAAGTACCGTAATGCTCTGAGACTTACTTTGAGACATGCCAAACAAAATTACTACCGTTCACAATTTGAAAAGAATGCTGGCAATCCCAAGAGGCTCTGGGCTGATTTGCTAGAGGCTATTAATAAACGAAAAACACAAAGGGATCTGCCCAGCAGATTCGAGACTGAAAGCGGTACAGTCACAGCGCCTGATAGGCTGGCATGCATGTTTAACGACTATTACGCTCAAGTAGCCCCAACTTTGGATGCAGCTCTTGGCCCCTGCACGGTTGATCCTCTAACATACCTGAATGATGTTGCGGTTCCAAATGAATTAGCTTTTCAGCCAGTTAACCAAGCAGTTGTTTTAAACATTGTTGAAGGGCTAAAGGATTCTGGTGCTGGCTTGGACGGCATCAACAGTAAACTTTTAAAACATCTGATCCCAGTGATTGTTCCACACGTAACTCATTTAGTTAACACCTGCATCACTAAGAGCAAATTTCCAGCTGTGCTGAAAACTGCTCTGATTACTCCAATATATAAATCAGGCTCGCAATCGTTATTTTCGAATTATAGCCAATCCACGGAGGCGGCCCTGCTCGATGCTGTCGGTCACATCACCGATAGCATCGACGGAGGGCGCGTGACTTCACTCGTCACCGCTGACACCTCCAAGGCGTTTGACAGCGTCGAGCATGGTCGCCTCTTGGAGAAGCTGGGGTGGTACGGTATTGATGACCGGTGGTTCCGTGCATGGCTTTCCGACCGCACGCAGTCAGTAAGAGGTGGATCGGGTGCTGAGCTGCCGGTGACGCATGGGGTGGTGCAGGGCAGCATAATGGGCCCAGTGTTGTTCCTGGTGTTCTCCAATGACTTGTCACAACACGTGCCGCATGGGAGGCTTGTTATGTACGCCGACGATGCCCAGTTTATAGATTCAGACTCGCCAAGAAACCTGTCAGAGCTTAAATGCCGCGTAGAACAAACCCTGTCTGTAGCTCTCTGCTGGTTCACGCAAAATAGGCTAAAGATAAACCCTTCGAAGACCGAACTGCTTATCTTGAGATCCTCACGCCAAAATGATAATGTCAACTTCACCGTCAAATTCGGCGAGTCGCAAGTCGTGCCTGTGCAGTCGGCGAGGGTCTTAGGCGTCAACATCGACTCGTGCCTGACGTGGGAGCAGCATGTGGCTGCGATCACTCGCCGATGTTACTGCATTCTGATAGGGCTGGCCAGAATGCAGCGTCGTGTGCCGCGTGAGACAAAGCAGCTGTTGGTCGAGGCCCTGGTATTCCCTCATCTGCAGTACTGCATGTGCGTGTGGGGAAGCTGCACAAAGACCCAAAAGCACAGACTTCAGAGATGTATGAATTTTGGCGCCCGCATTGTCACTGGTCTTGGCTATCGTGAACACATTTCCGGGACACTGCGAGAGCTTGGATGGCGGGTGATCGAGGACATGATAACTGAGCGTGACCTGTGCGTCATGTACAACCTGAACCATGTCGAGAGCGCCCCTGAGCTTCTCCGCTCACGCATCACCCACCGCTCTGATGTGTCTGTGCGTGAAACGAGAGCGACACGTGACGGCGAGCTGGAGGTGCCGCGGGCCCGCACAGAGTTTGCCCGTCGGTCGTTCTTCAATCGGGCGGTGAGAGCGTGGAATAGGCTACCGCTGAGTGCGAGAAACGCGTCTTCTCTTCCTGTCTTTAAAAAGTGTATCGCAGATGCCTTTTAAAGGGTGATGCAAATGTGGATTGATAGGAAAATGCTTTTACTTGTGCTACATGACGTGGAACGCTGAAAACCCATTTTATGGATGTATTCCTAAATATATGATATGATGATATGATAGGCCTATCTCAGTGTTACCTGCCATTTCTAAAGTTCTTGAATCAGTGATACATTTTCAACTCCTTAGTTTTATCACTGAACATAACATACTTTTTGGGCAACAATTTGGATTTAGAGCCAATCACTCAACGTATATGCCCATTTGCCTTTTGCACGACATTATTACTGCCAAACTTGTTGCTGGCCACTCCACTGTGGGTATCTACCTTGATTTGGCTCGTGCCTTTGATACAGTAAATACAAATATTCTTCTTAAAAAGCTGTCAAAATATGGCATTACGGGTAATGCCCTGTCTCTTTTTTCATCTTATCTTACTGGTAGAAAGCAATGTCTAAAATTTAATGATACTATTTCGCGTACTATTGACGTTACGTGTGGTGTGCCCCAGGGCTCAATCTTGGGGCCAATCTTATTCCTTCTCTATATAAACGACCTTCCTAAAGTATGTGATGAAGCCAAATTTCTTTTGTTCGCCGACGATACAGCCATCCTCTACTCTGCAAAATCGCGTGCTGAGCTCCAACGTGCAGTTTCACGGTCGTTTCCAAGAGTACTTATGTGGCTCCACGCAAATCGGTTGTCTCTTTCGACCTCCAAAACAGTTTACCAGCTTTACTCCCCTAGTAGTAATGAGATGGAAGGCCTTTCCATACCTGCTAAAGGTGTTAACTTAATGCGAGCCTCTACAGTAAAGTATTTGGGTATCCTAGTAGATGAAAATCTTAAATTCAAGTCTCACATTAGTAAAGTATCTTGCGTCATTAGTAGAAATATTGGCATAATGGGCCGAGCCAAATATCTCCTTAATAAGAGACTCATGATCCTCTTGTATAACTCCCTTGTCCTTCCCTACCTTAGTTATTGCCTGATTGTATGGGGCTCGAATTATGAATGTAACCTAATTCCTATCATCACTGCGCAAAAGCGAGCGATCAGGCTCATAGCTGGTGTGAGTCGCCTGTCCCATACCTCCCCACTCTTCCGTGAACTTAAACTTCTTAAGCTTTGTGATGTCTTAAACAAACAGCTGCTTCTTGTTTTACATGACTTCCTCTTTGACCGGTTACCTGATGCTATTTCGGTTAGGTTCTCCTTGTACATAAGTAATCATTCTCGTCCAGTTCGTAATCCCAGGCACTTCAATGAGCTGGTCTCTGCGGACAACGGGGATGGGGTGCCTAATTATCGGTTACGCAATTATCGTTTATTTTCACCATTTTGTAGAGCACCAGTAATCTGGAACCAAGTAATTGCCTCGCGTATACCTAACCTTCGTGATATCCCCTCCAGTAAATCCCTTTTTAAGAAATGTCTTATGCATATCTTCATTGATGACTATTAGATTTTCCAATAACTCAGCTGTATTACTTGCTCTTGTCTTCTTTCTATTTACCCTTTTTTTCAGGGATGCGGAGCCGGAGCCGGAGTTGGAGCCGGAGCCGCCGGAGCCGGCATATTTTGCCCGGAGCCGGAGCCGGAGCCGGAGCCGTGAAACAATATAGCCCGGAGCCGGAGCCGGAGTCGGAGCCGCCAAAAAAGGGGGCGACTCCGGCTCCTTTTTATTTTTTGAAGAGGAAAAAATAATTGACCTAGTTCGGTTTGACAGTACAAGGCAGTAAAACATATGGTACTATTGGTCTTAAGATAAGGGCCCAGGCGACCTGTAGTTTTGATGCGGTGAATACCCTCACCCTCGCCACAACTCGAGTGGGGGTGGCGCTGGCTGGGAGGAGGGGTGCACTAGGCCCGAGTTGTGGCGAGCGTAAGGGTATTCACCGCAATGGCCCTTATCTTGAGACCAATAGTACGTCATGGGCCATCAAGTGAATGAAAAAAAGCCGAATATCCCCAGTATCCCACTGAGTACGCAATCAACTTCCTGTCTGCTCCTCCCCCCCCCCCCCCCCTCCACGTCTACTGCATCCCCAGAACATGAGGACCGGTCATCAGGTGACGGCCATTGTTTTGAAGCCAGTGCAGTGGACTGCGACTCCCAGCACCGTCTCTTCCCTCCCCCACCCCCAATGCAGCCTAGACGGGTGTCAGCTTACGATGGTTCAGTGAACTCCGATTCGTGGCGACTGCGTTTCCAATGCCATCGCTTCCTAGTCCTTTGTTCTGCCAGTTCTCTCCGAGGTGCGTTTGCGCGGGGACGCGGTGAGCCGGTCATGGCAAAGAGTAACGCGTATAACCAATCCAATTTTTCTTCCACCCGTATTTAATTGATTGCATAGGGGATGTACCGAGTCGGAGCCGGAGCCGCCGGAGCCGGATCATTTTACTCGGAGCCGGAGCCGGAGCCGGAGCCGCCATAACGTTTCACCCGGAGCCGGAGCCGGAGCCGGAGCCGATTTTTTTCTCCGGAGCCGGAGCCGGAGCCGGAGCCGTCTGAAATTTCCACGGCTCCGCATCCCTGCTTTTTTTCCATATTTACTTTTTTCCCTGATAGTTCTGATCCACCACCACCACATCCGTTGCTTCCTTGACTTATTGGCGTGCAGCGGGACCTCAGGAAGTTAAACAACCTATATCCCGCTGCACTTAGCCAAACACATTATGTCTAGTGTTAATCATAAACGGGATTAGCATTGCACTCCGTTTAGCATGTATGTATTGTTAGTTCATCGATATAGGTATACATATTTATTATTTATTCATACATGAATTCATATACAGATTTACAATGGCCATTCAACACTACGCTACTCAAGTTTTCTTTCCAATTCTTTAAATACCCCAGCATCGTAACAGTTTGTACCTGCCTACGTTCCCGACCCCTGAACGATAATGTGATTGACCCCGGCCTAACGTTCCTCTCCGACCATCTGCCCCTACAGCTGAGCTACACGGCTGGACAGGGTCCGGTCGAAGCCCGGTGCCATGCTGCTGGGGGCTGCTGCGGCCTGCGACGGATGGCGGCTGTTGCTTCCGCTCCCTGAGGAGATGCCGTCCTTGTGGCGCACAGGGCGGCTACCCACGGTTGCAGCCCGATGGCTTCATTCTCGGGACGCGGCCCGTTGGATGTGCGACGACCGGCACCTTGCGACCGCTGCGGTGACCGGCAGCGGTGCCCGCTCTCCTGACTTGACAACGGACTACATCTTCGTGCTGCCATGGGGTGGCGCCACTGGTGGGACGAGCGCCACTGGTGGAGCAGGCGCCATCTCTGAGGCGGTACAGCCGACCGGCTGGCTAACGGCGTCGAGCGCCTGATGAATGCTGCGCTGAGCGGCGATACTGAGTCGCCGCTCTCGAACTGTCGACGTCCCACTGAGCTTGTTGGACATGACTACGGGGCAGCCGACTAGACTACATCCTCGGCCGCGGCCCGTTGGATGTGCGATGACCGGCACCTTGCGACCGCTGCGGTGACCGGCAGCGGTGCCCCCTCTCCTGACTTGACAACGGGCTACATCTTCATGCTGCCATGGGGTGGCGCCACTGGTCGGACGAGCGCCACTGGTGGAGCAGGCGCCATCTCTGAGGCGGTACAGCCGACCGGCTGGCTAACGGCGTCGAGCGCCTGATGAATGCTGCGCTGAGCGGCGATACTGAGTCGCCGCTCTCGAACTGTCGAAGTCCCAGTGAGCTTGTTGGACATGACTACGGGGCAGCCGACTAGACTTCATTCTCGGCCGCGGCCCGTTGGATGTATGATGACCGGCACCTTGCGACCGCTGCGGTGAGCGGCAGCGGTGCCCCCTCTCCTGACTTGACAACGGGCTACATCTTCATGCTGCCATGGGGTGGCGCCACTGGTGGGACGAGCGCCACTGGTGGAGCAGGCGCCACCTCTGTGGCGCTACTGCCGACCTTGGACCGGCGGGATGACGGCGTCGAACGCCCGATGACTGTGTGCTGGACGGCGATACTGAGTCGCCGCTCTCCGGGCACCATCCCCATCGACCAAGGCCCGGCTGGTGCTTGGCGCCGGGTGCCGGATGGCCGCTGCGCTCGGCGGCGGTGCTGGGTCGCCGCTCTCTGGAATGACCGCTGACTCGTCTTTTTGATCTCGTCTTTGTGTTACCGTCTGGTTAGGCACTGTCAAACTCCCCAATATAACCTTTAACACTAACTGTCCGTATTCTAACAAAACTAACATGTGAATCCTTTCCGACCAATCCCGTTTGACAGTGCCATAAATTATGAATTGTTCAATGTGTGATCCCAAATTATAATCAATAAACGGAACGGAACGGAAAAAAAAGGAATGGCGTTCGGGGAGGAGCAGGCTACCGGTCCGAGGCCGCGAGCTACATTACAGTTAGGTGGGGCTGGCAGAGGGGTAGCCGTTCCTGTAAATCCATTAAACATAATGAATGTGTAATAGGTACTCGAAACTCCTTCATTTACGACGCCTCGCCGGGATGCCTAACCCTCATACATAACTATGCAGCGCCGCCGACCGTCGGAGCGCCGAAGTCTCCAGTGACGTCACGTAATGCTAAAGTTTTCGGGCGGCAAAAACCCCGGGACGGTTTTACCTTCTCTATACGGCCTTGGTTACCGGGGCCCTGGCTTTGGGCGCGGCTTCTGCTCATACTTTGTGGTGCGGTGGTGGTGCGTCGGGCCGCGCGCTCTGACTCCGGCCAAGAAAAATGCGTCAGCTGATCATTGTCATTTCTGCCACTTGCGTGTGGTGAAATGGGGTCATCACTTAAGAGACGGCTTTTTCATATCAATTATTTTACATTAAATCATATTTCAAACCATAAATAATGTTCGACAGCCAAATTAAAGAAACAATACCAATACAGGCTTACAGTTTAAGTTCGACATTGTGTTGTCTACGATTAGACAGCTGATAACTCATTTCCGTACGTCGTAACTCTATAATGACCTTTGCTTATTGTCACATGTGCGCCGCATTCGCGATTGTTGCCGACGCCTGTTTGCACGTCAGCCCACTATAGTTGTTATACATATCGAAAAACCGGTAAACTTTTAGGCAAAAAAGCACTATTCCAGGCCCATTTTTTTTTGCAATATTAGGTAAAAACAGAAGTTTCTTACCCTAGGAAAAATAAAATGGGAAATCTTTCAAAGGTGGCACACTATCTTTAACCCTCGCCGGCCGAGGGGGGGGGGGAAGGTGCCGCCCCCCATAGGGTTTTTTTTTCGCGATACCTCCGAACACGCTGGCGATAGAGAGCTGAAACTTGGCATACCTGACCTTTGATCCAAGCCGCATCTTTTGACACCAACCGCATTTTTGGGTCAGGTCAGGTCACTGACCTATGACGTCATAAGTGAACCTCTGCACGGTCTTCAGATGTCGCAACTTCACAACGCCCTCACTGCCAGAGGAGATGTCACAGGGAAATGAAACTTGCAGGATCTAGTATCCATTATGAGTCTCACAACTTGTATATCTCGGATTTTTCCTAAAGGTCACATGAGGTCAGGTCATTTTCGTGACCTCACCATTATAAATCAATGGGGAAAGTGATGATGAAATAGCCTTTGCTCATACTTAATCGAAAAATGACGAAAAAACAAAATATATATGTTGCAGGCACTTTAGAAAATCAGGCATTTTACAAAAAGACGGCTCTTTGAAAAATGACTGAACGCAACCAGGCTTTTTTCAAAATGGCTAGCCATTTTACAAAATGACTAGGCATTTTGCAAAATGCCTGACCAGCATGGAACGTAGATCCCACTACAGATACCATGGCCAACAGTTTATGGACGTCTTCCTACACCCTATAGGTACGTGTTCAGCCTGTAGCTGATCGATTTGAAGCTCTGTGATGACGACAATGCTGAGTAACGACCAGGTTGAGTTGCAGACTCGGCTGTAGCATAAAGCATTGTTTAGTTAACGCTGTAAACGCTCTCTGATCACAATGAATATTAAAGCAATAATTAACAAAACACGATTAATTTTGTTCTGTGGCAACAGCTTTGAGTACCTACTTGCATGGTCCCAGTTAAAAATATCAAGCTCCACATCGGGAGAATCATCAGGTCGCTTGGCGTAGGACGAGAGCGTTGGTTTCAGAAGACACTAACGCCTAAGTGTGTGGGATCGAATCCTCGCGAGCTCTAATAGTTTTACAGATACAGGCCGGCATAGGGCCAGTCGTTTGTTGACGCTCCAGATCGATCATTTTAAATCCAGCAGCGTCGCTGACGTGGGGGTTGGAAATGTCGCGGGCCTGCACTTCTCAAAATAGAGGTAGGTATGGACTTCCCACTGCTGGACTCCTCTGGTCATAATGCTGGACTCCTCGGTTCACCTACACGCTACCAAAACGTATATAATTAGGTACTCGTATCTACAACACGCTGCTCAGTCATTTTGTAAAATGGCTAGGTATTTTGTAAAATGCCTAGGCATTTTGCAAAATGACTGGAGAGTCAGTCATTTTGTAAAATACCTAGGCTTTTTGCAAAAAGCCTGGAAAATCAGGCATTTTGCAAAATGCCTAGGCATTTTACAAAATGACTGATTTTCTAAAGTGCCTGCAACATATATAAAGTGACTGATATTTCGCCCTTGTGGCTTCTTCAGAGTGAACATTTAAACCATTCATATTTGAAGCAGAGATGGCGAACGTGCGGAAAACATTCTTTGCACCACCGATCACAAGTTGTTGCTACCATAAATAACAATAATCCAATTTTAACACTTTACCCTCAGTACTAATCCTAAATACATCGAAGTCAATGACACCTAAAATAAAAAAGGCATAATTTACGATCATGATCTTCTCCCAGACTGGCAGCATAGGTATACAGAAATAAAATGACGCATGTTGGCCTAAATAAGAACACACACGATCCCTACACAATTACACATTTGACACCGGTACCGAAATTTAATAATTACAAGTAATTGGGTCCTACACCTCGTACTCAAAGGTATCAACACATCACACCGAATACATTACATACGTGCAACATGTACATATACAAAACACATCGATCGATGGTTGACAAAACGTAATCGTTCAGTGGAGCAGTGGCCACGTGTCGATCTGGCCGTTCAGAGAGGGCTGCCTATCCCGGATAGCCTGAGCCTCGGCTATCTTCCGGTCAGCTGCGTCTTTGCATCTGCGAAGAATGGTGACAGATAGCCGAGGCTCTGACTCATTCGGATGGCTCTCCCTCATATGTTCTCCAAAGGGAGTCTGCCTCGTACGATTGGTGCCGTCTCTAAAATGTTCATCAAACCTGTATCTGACACAGCGCTTTGTTTCTCCCATGTATGTCTGAGGAGGCCCGTCGGCAGCTGCGCACATCATACATGTGATCTGATAGACGACATTTTTCGTTGTGCATCGCCCATGTAGTCCATTGTTACACGTACGGCAGAACTGTTTACCTGCGCGACAGGGTGGGGGCTCTAAAGCCGAATGTACCAGGCGTTTGGCGAGGGTGTTGCCATTTTTCCACGATGCTGTTAAGCTGGGATTAACAGATTTCAGGGCCGCATCTACTTTCCGGGTCAGGCTGTCACTGATGAAAGGCAGTGACACATATGTCATATATCCTATCCCTACGTTTGGGATGGGCTCCTGTGTGACTACGGGCACTTGTGCGGTCAGCTGTCGGATACTTTTGTCTGTTGTATTGTTTCAGAGCCTGACGCGCTATCCCGTGCAGCCAGCGTGGAGGGTAGCCGTTGGACACGAACAAGTCAAATATCATGTCAGTGCTGCGCTTAGCGCTCTGTGGGTCTGACGAAACCTTCAGGGCTCGTAGAAATTGGGACTTAGCGACCGACTTTTTAGTTTTGAACGGCTGGGCCGAGTCAAAAGGAAGGATAATGGATGCAGCTTCAGGTTTGATATAAAGCTGCGTTTTGTAGTGCCCGCTCTGGTGCACGCTGATCTGCGTGTCTAAAAATGCTATTTGTCCCCGAGGACTGGCTGTGTTGGAACGTTCGATGGTGAATTTGATCGTGGGGTGAACCGAGTTGACATATTCGAAGTAAGCTGAGAGCTCCTCCGAACCATGTGACCAGACACAGAAACAGTCATCGATGTAGCGCAGGTACAGTTCTGGTTGAGCGCGGTTTGCAGACAAATAAATGTCTTCCAGCGCTCCCATGAAGATGATAGCGGTGGACGGGGCTATACGGTTTCCCATGGGTAACCCGAGGGTTTGTTTGTAAAATGATTGCCCGAATTTTAGGTAGCTGTTGGTGAGACAGTGCCTTAGAAGAGGCTCTACGTCTGTCCAAGACAGGTCAAACAAATTGATGGTCTCTCTGTGTTCCTGTAACAGATTCATCACCGTTGGTACAGCCTCGTCTACAGGTATATTCCCATATAGGTTAGTTACATCTAGGCTGAAGACGATCGTACCTGGGGGAAAGCCGTTCGGATGCGTTTGGCTCAGCCGATGAAGATACGTGTCGGTGTTTGGCAGGTGGGCAGGTACGTATTGTAGTAGCTGAGAGATGATCTGATCTAAGAACCACGTAACCTTGTCAAGGGGGTCCCCACACGCTGACACGATGGGGCGGAGCGGGACGGATGGTTTGTGATTCTTAGGGAGACCGTAGAATTCCGCAGCGCGCGACCCCTGTGGCAGGAGGGCTTGCATAAGTGACTGATCTACCCAAGGCTATAGAACTCCAGGTAAGGACACCAGCCGTTTGACCTTAAACGCCGCCGGCCGGCCGATGACGTCATCGGAGGCAAGCCGGCTCGGCGGACACACAGGGCGAATGCATAACGGAGGGGCGTTGGAACGTTGCAGGAGCCAGGGAGATATTTTAAAGTGGTTGCATACCACCATTGTTTGTTGATTGATCTACAGACTGCATCCTTTTAAACCTCGATGCATCCAAGGCCTGGATGGTGCGTACATTCGTGGAACGATCACCCCGTCCGACGTCCGTGGTCGAAGCTGTCATAGTATTTAAGACACTAAGATGGGTGCAATAACGGCGATCCAATCCCATCTCTGGCGAATCTAGAGGGGTCGTAAGGACCCAGGCCGAATCTGACCGTCTATTTTTAGGGAAACTGGGTGGGTGAATTGACAACCGATGGCTTAAGAGATGATGAGAAGGGATCCCGTCGTCGATTGTTGTTTGCCAGACAACACATGTTGTACTGGGCATATGACCATCAGAGGTAATGCCTGAGCGTAGGCAAGCATAATTGGTCTGTCATATTGTTTAGGAATATAAAATGGTAATGGAGATCATTGAGGATATGATCTCTACACATTACGGGAATTCACTAATTA